CCCCCCGCTTATGTATGCCTTGCGCTGGAAAGAGGGGTAAGCATTTCTGGCATCACAAGGACTATGCATACACTAGGGCGTCCGTAGTGTAGGATCTGGTAAAAGGTATAAGGAGTAGAGTGTCTTGAGGAAATAGCCGGCTTATGGTTGAGCCGGAACGAGGGGTAAGCATCACAAGGACTGTGCATACACTAGGGCGTCCGTAGTGTAGGATAAGACTAGTAAAAGGTATCAAGAATAGAGTGTCTTGAAGAAATAGCCGGTGTATGGTTATAGCAAGCCTGGGGGGTAAATTTACCACCCGCTTATGCATGCATTAGGTTAGAAATAGAGGTAAACAACTTATAACGGTGAAGTACAAGTCCTATGCAGCAAGCAGCAGCCAGCAGCAGCAGCAGCCGCCTGCAGCCAGCAGCCAGCAGCAACCACCAACCAGCAGCCAGCCAGCAGCACCACGCAGCAGCAGCGCAGCATCAAGCCGCAGCAGCAGCAGCAGCAGCACCACCGGCAGCAAGCAGCAAGCAGCAGCAGCAAGCAACAAGCAGCAGTAGCAGCGGCGTCGTCAGCAACAGCAGCAGCAGCACCAAGCCGCAACAAGTAGCAAAGCAGCAGCTACAAAAGCGGCAACCAGCGGCAGCAGCAAACAGCAGCAGCAAACAGCAGAGCGGCAGCAGCAGCAGCACCCTTTACACCAAGCCACCGTTACACCCAACCAACCACGTTCACACGTTCAACCAACCCCCTACACGGCGCAGCTGGGAGTTGGGCCGGGGGGGGGGGGGGGGCGGGGTTAGCTTGATATATGAATCTTTAAGGCACGCAGCCCCTCCCACCACAACAACTCAGCTAGCATGCTAGCTTTCGTGATTATATTTAATATATATATATATATACAAATACAAATTAGAGTTGGCCCGCTGTTTCCAACAGCGGGCGATTACGGGGGAAAAGAATAGAAGATTCACAGGTTGGAAGAGGAGCAAAATAAAGGTGGTAGCGGGGCAAAGGCCGACATAATAGCTAGAATATATAAACATATACAAAGAAAATAGCGGCCGTGTTTCTTTTGTATGCCTGCGGAATTAGTAGGTCGCATGGGTGGAAAAGCCATTGAGGTAGCATCACCCAAGCTTAGCAAACCTGGTTAAAAAAACAACAATCGGGTGAACCGGATCTTATCGGTTGAAGCTGAAATTTTAATAGTGGATTGGACATTAGATACAAACACCTGGGTGGACATTGGATATCAATATAATACATGATTGTGTATGGTTGTAACTGCTTGGTAGAATCTGTTGTGGATTCACCTGCATATGAGTCTCTGGAATGTTGTGCATTATTTCGATATGGGCGTCGAGTCGACAATTTAAAACTTCCAACATAATCCAACTATTTCGGGTCCTTTCCGCTAACGCTAAAACCGAGCACCAAATATGAAGCCGCCAAAAGGAAAAATATATTTGCAACAAATCCCAAAATCTTGGCAGACTTTTGGGAATTTTGGCTTGGCCGAATTGCGCGCGCCCCTGTTGGTAGGCCTTATCGTAATATTCTGAATAATATTCCTAAGTAAAATACATATATTACGAATCACTAAGTATTTCAATTTTGTTATAAGCTTTGTAATCGATGTCCAGGTCCATAAGACGCCTAAAAACAATCATGGGGGTGATTTGGCGCATTGCCTGTCTGTGATCCAATCTGATGCAACTACAGTATTTGTGTCTGCCATGAGCTATTCCAAATGCGTCCAAAGGCTGTGTCCCAGGTTTCGCTGTCCACAATGCACTCAGTAAACCCTCCAACAGGTGGTACTACTGCACTCGCGTTGCAACACTGCCACACCGCTTCCACAATGAAAGCTCCAAAGTAGTGGTTTGAAGTCTTGATTTGCACGCGCACCAGCCAATCTTCATCTCCATGCCAAGCATGGAAAAGAACACCACCACACATGAAACTGTGGGAGCAACAATGGTGGTGCCACTTCTGAACAGGATCAGTTTACCCAGCAGCTTGTTACAACGGTCTTCAGCAGGTATGATCAGTTTACTCAGCTTTATGAAGGTTGGTGCTACAATGTAGTTTTCTCTTTGATCGTTTTTTCTCTTTTATCGACCAATGCCATTGGATTGGCGGCCCTTGCCGGCCTCTGGGCTCAAATGCCGGCTCGCGCCCTGAAAAGGTGATGGACACCGGGCATGGACGACCTGGGACCCTCCATTTCCGGACCTGGAAAGTGACCGTGTTGCTGCTATGTGGGTTGGGGTGGAGGGTACACGAAGAATATGCAGGTCAGGTGGAAATACACATTATTGTGATTGGAATCGCTGTTCTTTGTATTTTATCTTTTCGAGGATCACTAAAATCAAATTGCTTTCTTTTTTCTTACATGAAATAGACCACCACCGGCTCGAAAAGACGTCTTGTACCTTCGTTTGCGCTTGAGACTACTCATTTCATCCAATGGACCCAAAAACATCATATGATCACGGACTGTTTGGACCATGCGTCCAGGGGTGAATATATACGCGTGGCGGGGGAGACTAACTCGTGGAAGGGAAGAAGCACCAGCCCAAAACAATCAAATGACAACAATCAAGATCGATCCTCGGGACACCAACACTTAGATACTCTGTCTGGGAACGGCCCCTTGGTTACGTGGATGGCACCAACTGTTTGTAGTGGAACATGGTCTTCCGAACTCGGGGCCATGCCATCCACGTAACCATGGGGCCGTTGCAGGGAGTGTAGGTGGATTTGATTCTTTTCACTCACCGGTTTCACTCCCGCGTCGATGCCCACAGTCCCACCTGATGCAATCGTCCTTGCAAATGCTCCTCTTCGGGAATCTCGAGGCCAGGGTCATCGGACCTGGTTTTTGGAGGTCGGTGTTTTCTGATGCGGCGTCCGCCAGTTGCCTTTCCGAATGCAAATCCTGGCTGCTGAAAGACACCCAACTGAGGCTTTCTTCTGAAGCAAAAAGTCTTCTCCCGCAGGAGATCTCCTCGCCCCTCTCGGCTTTGAGGATGCGGCGGGACAGTCCAATCCTCCTGGCAAAAGCGCACGTTCGCAAGCAAGCGCGCATGCCCTCTCTCTCGCGCAGTAGGATCCATTGCCAAAAGCATTTAGCGCATTTTAGCGCCACTTGCAACACAAAAACTCCGCAGCAAGCACTTTGTTGGCCAAGCAAACGTTGCCAAAACATCTCTTGGTCTGACAAACTCATTGCGTTTTAGCCCAAGTTGCAGCCAAAATATCACGGTTTTTCCCACAAGCCAGGCAGCTCCTCATCACTGTTGGGCGCATTGGGGGCAGCATGCCCAGGCATTGTGGTCCCGGGATTGCTGGGTGCAGCCCCATCAGCCTCTCCAGGCGGCCAGTGAGGAGGATCGGGTGGTAAAGTCGCCGGGTTTGGTAGTGGTGTTGTGGCTTATATGTCTTTATATTTCTTTATCTATGTATTCTTATTCTTATTTCGTGTGATTTCTTTTGGCCCTTCTGATGCCTCTCTCCATGATCCTCTCCCTAAGATCATATGTTTAAGCATCACTGAAATAGGTTGAAGAATGTCAGCAGTTCTCTTTTTTACAGTTTAACATCTCTTTGCACATCTTGGAGGGCCTGTGGCGTGTTTGAACATGTCTGGCACCTGGAAACAAAAACTGTTCCATGAGTGGTTCTGACTTTCCCGGTTCCCATTAGCATTTATTTGTCACATGGATGCTCCTTTGAGAAGTTGGAACGCCTTCCAGTCTCATCTTTGTCCAAAACCTTCCTGATCTTCCTGATGACTCATCTTCCATGGGGACTCCTCAGCCTCAGGGGCTCCCAAAATGAGCATCGGAATCCCTTTCATCTGTTCTCCCGGTGCAGCTCCCTTGCTTCTTGTGACTTCGTTGCTCGATTCCCCTTGGCCATGAACGTTGAAACGCAGGACAGGCCATTGGAACCATCCAGGACAGGCCATAGGAAAAACTTGACGTTGGAAGCCCGACTTCGCCCCCGCAAGAAGCCACCTCGTCCATAAACATCTCCTCCAACAGCTCGTCGCTCATGGCCTGCTGTTTCGCGGCTCAAGCAATTGGACACAGTCGTCTCAAGAGCTGCAGAAACACCCCGGGCCATGGGCAATCAATATTCAATATTCTCGGCGAACAAGCTGTCACATGCGGCGAAGCAGGGTCGAAACACTTTGCATTTCGGCATTCCCCTAACCATTTCGGCATTGCCCCAGACATTCGGGGCGACGAAAAATGGACACAAACTGTGCAGAAATGCATAACAATTCCTGCACAAAAATTTTGCATTCCATATTTTAAGAGATCACAAGGCTTCGAAGTGTGCTTGTTGTTGTTGTTGTTGCTGTTGTTGTTGTTGTTGTTGAGGAGCCAGCTAGTGCACCATTAGCCACACGTAGTGACTGCGATTGACCGCGCAACGTTCACGTTCATGCAACCATGCGATGTTCACTGATTTTCACCGCTCCTCTGCAATCATGGCCACCACCTCGTCATGTCCAGCCTGACGGAACACATGTGAATATGGGAGAAATGCAGGGTGTCAGCTGTACTTCTTGTAGCGACCCTTCTTGCCCCAGATTCTGTGAGCACAATGAATCTTGGATCAAATTTACAATGTTTTGATTATCCCGGCAAGAGACCCCTAACAGTGTGTGTGAGGTCTATAAGCAAAACGTCTAGAGATCTAGACGCGTTGGGGTTCAGAGAGGTGATGGTGGGGATGAAGGTGGGGATCGTGGTGACGGTGGCGGTGGTGGTGAGTGAGTGAGTGTGAATGTGAGTGAGAGTGAGAGTGGGAGAGTGGGAGAGTGAGTGTGAGTGTGAGTGAGAGTGAGAGTGAGAGTGAGCGAGGGTGAGTGTGGGTGAGAGTGAGTGTGAGTGAGAGTGAGTGTGGGTGAGAGTGAGTGTGAGTGTGAGTGAGAGTGAGTGTGGATGAGAGTGAGTGTGAGTGAGGGTGAGTGAGTGTGAGTGCGAGTGCGAGTGAGTGTGAGTGTGAGTGAGCGTGTGTGTGAGAGAGTGCGTCTGAGAGCACAAAGTGCTGCGCCGAAATCTGCAGTGTGAGGTTCTCAAAGTACTGCGCCTGCCACGAAATCTGCACTTTGAGGTTCACCAAGTGCTGTGCCTGCCACGAAATCTGCATTTCGAGGTTCACCAAGTGCTGTGCCTGCCACTAAGTCTGCACTTCGAGGTTCACCAAGTGCTGTGCCTGCCACGAAATCTACACTCCGAGGTTCACAAAGTGCTGTGCCTGTCACGAACTCTGCACGTCGAGGTTCGCAAATTTCTGCGCCTGTCACGAACTCTGCACGCCGAGGTTACAAAGTGCTTCGCCTGTCACGAACTCTGCACGCCCGCCACGAAATCTGGACGTCGAGATTCACAAAGTGTTGTGCCTGTCACGAAATCTGCACGTCGAGGTTCACAAAGTGCTGCGCCTGTCACGAACTCTGCACGTCGAGGTTCACAAAGTGCTGCGCCTGTCACGAAATCTTCACGCCCAGATTCACCTGTCACGAAATCTGCACATCGAGGTTCACAAAGTGCTGTGCCTGTCGCAATATCTGCAAACGAGCCACATGTTGAAAAGCAACGATTCACTGCACCTGTCACGAAATCAGAGCTCGATGGAGATCATCACCATGTCCAAAGTGCTGCACCTGCCACGAAAACTGCAGTTCGAAGTGAAACCGCTCCCGTCCCTTGCGCCTGTCACGAAAAGTCGACTTTGAACCATGAACACACGAGGTTTCTCTTGCGCCTGCCCACGAAAAGTCACCACCATGTGCGAAAATGCGCACGGCACCACAACGACAGCGCAGTCGTTAGAAGCACCCGCCGCAAACACCTAGATTCAGCGAGCCTGCGCAGTCGAAACGCACTTGGAGGAGTTGGAGAGGCATGAATGTACTGTAAATAGCAGCGACTTAACCGGACACGGCCGCGCGCTTCAGCGATCTAAGCACACCTGCTTTTCGAACACCTGCTTTTCTACTACCGTAAGAACTCCTAAGTGTCCACACTGCTTGGGGAACAAAATTCTCTTGGAAGCTTCAAGAAAAAGCTTCCACGAGAACATCTCTACTACCTGCAAAGGAGGTTCCAGAGTGGAAGGCTCCTCGGAGCATTCTGGGCATGGAGCTCCACTGAATCCATTTTTATGTGTGGTTTGTAGGCACTCGCGGATGACTCGAGAACCACTGTAATATACCTCATATGCAAATATGCATGCACGTGCACACACTCACACACACATATATATTTATATGTATATGTATACATGTGTATATGTATATACATATAATATATATAATATATATCTATGTATTTGCATTGCGCATCGAAGTCAGAACATTTGCAAGCTTTTGGACCAAATTGGATGTAATCTCAAATCTGCAATATGAGGAGTTCGGCACCGGGTTTCAACACGAGGAGCACGTGACCGAGTTTGGGTACTTAAAGGCTACCGAGAAGCTTCCCCGGTCGCAACGTCAGTTTCTTCCATGCCGTGGTCGAAGCAAAACACATCTGCGACCAACACCCTCCACCTCTTGACCAAAGTAGACATCCATAAGTTAACAGTTAAAAAGAGACACGATCATGAAAGAACTCACGAATTAATGCAAATCAATGAGGAAAACAAGGAAACACAACACACACACACACATCTGTTAATAGTACTTAATGCATGTCAAGCAAAATGAGACCAACCCACTTTACGAAAATGTCAGATCGCACATGCAATGTCAAAAGGAATATCATTGTAGACTTGACAGTTGTGACATCAGCGGAAAGCCACACCGCAACGACCCAAGAGGCTTGTGGAGCTTTATGCCCGGCCTCGTTGGCATACGAGGCGGCCGAGCGGCCTTGCAAGTCCAGCGCTTCCACCGTGGCCCCGGCCTAGGCCGGGATGAAGACGCTCGGCCCCAAAAGGGCAGGTTTGGGGGAGATCAACTGGTTCCAAATGAAAGCCATCAACAACATGAAAACAAGTCCTTGGATGTCCCTTCACCTGGGGGTAATCTCAGATGGAACTAGGGATGATCTTGAGGGTTGGGTTCATGTCTATTGGTTTTTCCTTTGAAGTTGAACACCCGCGTACACACACACACACACACACATATATATATATATATAAAGGTCCGCAACTAGATAGCATCATTTTTCTAGAAGGTTCGCACAAGCTTTCTTTTCTGTATAGTCGACTAATTTATCGAAGCTCCAGGATTTGCAACACTAGACCCTTCCAGGCGGAATTTTGTGGAACTCTTAAGGCCTGGGGCATTTGGCAAGTGGCCCCAACCCCAAATCATCTGAAGTAGATGATGGCCTTTAGAAGCAGCTGGATCGCCTCCTTCTTGCCGGCCTGCGGATCTGCGCCCTAGAGGAACCCCCCAAGACCCTTGGTCCCACAACCCGAGACAAACCACGAAATGCTGACTTGCTGCTTGAAACTAAGGCCAAGTTAAGCCTCCAAACACTGATAGATGATTACTGTGAAATGTGTCGAAGCAGGACCTATATGTCAGTCCGTTCCACGAGAGAATTGAGGAACTATTTGCGAAGCTTGCGCGGTCTGGATATTGGGTGGCTTTTCCATGCCAGCGCCGCCAACTTGGGACAATGCGGATTGCCTCATACAAGTCCAAGTTTGCTGGGGATTTGTGGAAGCATCTTCGGCAGGGGTGCTCTCAATGTTGATTCAAGAAACCCAAGTCTCGTACTTTCAAGGGCTTTCCCGGGGCCTGTCATAGCGAACCAATCCACACTGGAAGCTCAGCTTTCCGGTTCAAGGCCTCTTTTCATATTTTACCTCATTATGGGGGCGACTTCCCGCAGTTTGCAGCTGCCCAAAATCAGCCTCCGAATGTTGGGGTCCACTCGGCAGCTGAAAACACTGACTGGTCAATCTTGGGCCGCCGACTGTATGTTCTTTGAAATATGCTTTAAAGAACTTTAAAGTGCATGTGCCATCATCTATTCTATATACATACTATCATCATATGTCAATCTACAACATCTACTCGCCAAGGAATCGGTACTCTTGGGATTTCTCTGGGTACTTGGGGATTTGGCCCATCAAACCCCTCTTGCAGCGTAGTCAGTCAACCCGTTGAGGGCACGTGCCTCCGCAGCGTAGTGCAAAGCGGTTTTGCACTCTCGATCCTCCCGCTGGCTGTGGACCCCGGTGACGCCCGTGGACGGTGTATGCGCCCGGAATGCGACATCGGAACCGATGGATGCCCACTTCCAGATACAACGATGTACAACGCATACGTTATGCATCATTACATTATATATATATATATAAATATACAACCATATACACCTTGCATCCGATGCTGGCATTTTCGAGACCATCTCACCGTTTGTACCCAGTGACGGCCCTGATCAAAATAGATGCCGCTTCAACCATGTTCTACTCTAATTAAAGTGAGCCACACGAGGCTTCTTCAGCAATCTGGAGCCTGCAAATGTGACCAAAAACCAGTGGAAATCCATGGATCTTTCTCTACATAATTGGCATCAATTGCCATGGCTCGGGCATGCTCGGGACGGCCCTTCAACGGAACCCCCGGAACCGCATCCCTCCCCCCTGCTGTCCATGTCGAGAAGAACCGTACCTCGACTTCCTTTCAGCAAGAGCCTGGACTCACTGGAGGGGCATGGCGCAAATTTAGATGGATCACCAAACTGCCAAAACCAAACCAGTAAGACCTGGTTTCACAGGGCTACCACGCTGATGTGTCAACCACGAACCGCACTGACAACCCCCTGAGAAACCGGATAAATCTGGGATCTGTCAGCAAGGATGAAGACCTTCGCAAGGTATCTATAATCAAATTCTAAATAATACCGAATAACAAATAAGACAATCAAATTATAAATTAAGACCTTCTGGAGGATGAAGACCTTCGATGGTGGGGATCTGAATGATCAATGCAACTTTTTGTGTGATCTACTCCCAGACTTTGTGCTTCAGGATTTTGAGGTAAGCACACTAAGGATCACTAAGGCACAACACATCCAACGCCTTGAACCCCTTTGGTGTCGCGCGCTGCTGCAGGATTGCTGTGATATGTGTTGCGACGGGATGAAGCGAAGTAGTTTGCTTCATGACGACGGGCGTTCGCCAGGAGCCTTGTTGTTGTCATTGCTTTGAGAATCCCTTCAGCTTCGTCGGACAGGCGTTCCTTCTCCCTCTCCCTCTGCACACACTCAAAAACACTCCCTGTCTGCCCACACAACTCGACTTATCTAAAACAATCAAGAATCAGTGTTACTGTATTTCTAGCCCTCTCAAATCGCCAACGCCTTTCCCTGCGTTTGTGGCTGGATTCCCGGGCGCCATGAAGCTGCAATTCCCCACACGGGCGCACTCCAAGAAGGGCGTTCGGCCCTCCTAAGGTGGACCGCGCTGTGCAAAAAGCAAGGGACCACCACTGGGACCACCCAAAAGTCGCTCTCCAAATTTTTGGGATGAGCAAAGGGCTCAAATGATTGATGAACTTCCCATTGCAGCTGGAGAGGAGAGGCGTTTTTTTCCCCAATGAAGGAACATATTTCCTCAATGAACTTAAGGAACATGTCGACTTCAGACTTGAGAGGTTCGCTAGTTGACCGCTGGAGGCACTTGCTTTGGTCCCTTGGGTCCCGGATGCATCATCGGCGCAGCAACTCTCAGGCTCAAACGGCATCTGGTTGAAATGGGTCGGCCTGGTCCACACGAGTTTTTCCAGGAACCCCTTGGTTTCAAGCTTCCCCACAGCACAAAGCTGAGAAGAATCCCATTTTCACGCGGGGGTTGGACATCTGTGCCTACCAGAAGAACCAAACACATCCAAACCCCAAGGTTTGCAGCGTCTGATGCAACAGTGAAGCCCCCCCCAGACCACCCTTCTGCAAGAGGTATGCCGGGAGTCAAAAGCGGATCTTGGACCGTCATACTGACCGTGCTCCCTTACAGAATGGGGTTCAGCACGGGAAGGTGTACTTAGGCTCAGGCTTTGTACTACGATTCGTTACACCTCGCGACTTTAGCTCAAATGTGTCATCAAATCTACAGTCAGTCATTAATCGGAACACATACACCATCGCGAAAAAAACAAAACATAGACTTACAAACACCGGACAACGAGGATTTAAAATTACCCCTGAAGGTTGCCACAAGTCGTTTCAATTTTCAGTTTGCTGCTTAGATTTGGGAGCTGCCAGCTCTAGCCCAGTTCCTTGGTCACAAAATGAAGATCCTTCCCCTTTAGACACGAGCCCATCATCTGTCTCCATGAACCCATTTCCATGGCGAAAGAAAAACCACTTCATTCATCTTGATTTGTTGTGAGGCGCTCTGGTGGATTTCTGATCCACACTGGATGGAAGAGCTCCTCGAAAACAATGAGCTCCGCTGCCAGGGTAGCTAATCATGCGCCAAACAAGGGGAGCCAACATATTTTCCTCTTGGCCGGATCTTGTCCACATGGCGGATCCAAACCGACTGCCTACCCACCCAACCTGCACCTCCATGAGAAGCTCAAAGACCTCGACTCCGAGGACCGGAGGTAAGAACGGTGGCAGCGCTCGCTCCGCGGCTCCGCGCTGCACCGGTCCAGTCTGCGGGACAGTACTAGTGTTCAACTAGGGTTCTGATTCCATAGGTATAGGACATGTTGAGAATGTGACAATGAATGTGCTTTCATTTCCTCTCCCACATTGCATGTGAGTAGTCCTTGGGGCATCTCAAGGGATGGAGCATAACAAATCTTGCAAATATCCTGACCACCGAGCCCTGGCAAAAACAACACACCTAAAACGTCTTGAAAGGGACATGTTGCAATCTGCACCCTGACTGCTGCGGGGATGCCATATTGAAGAGCTTTCTTGTGGCGGAGGCGGTTGCCGAGAAACGATAAATTAAAGACACATTGAGGTACTTCTTTATCACACAATGCGCCGAGTTTGCTCTTTTTTCTGCCATGTGCAGACTCCCCCACTTCTCTCGCCTCAGGTGTGGCGTCCTGGCGTTGACAAGGCCATGTGTGACGACGAAGCCTGTCTTACCGAGAATCATTCCAGCCAAGCAAAATATACGCCTTCTGATCAAATTCACTTCTTTAGGCAGCCTAGGAAAAGGTGGCACCGCTTTCGCAACATCCCCAGGACTGCCTGGAATGTATGTAAATAGCCATCTAGCTATCGCCAGCTGCCCCAAGTCACAGGAAGAAACATTCCACAGTGAACTGATACAATGCTCAGTGCTACACATATGTAGGAACCAACACGAACCTTAAAGTTTCTTCAGATCCTTCTGCGCATTGTGGCGCCCAGGGCGGCAAAGCGCAAAGCTCCGCTCCTGCCGCTGGCAAAGCATGGCCAATGCAGTTGGCCCAGTAGAAGTTCCATTGAGGAACTGCCTGCGACGACGGAAGGCTTGGAAGCAAGCAGCTGCTGACCCGTTAAACAATTGGGGCTTGGTTGCAATGATGACAGAATCATGACATCCAAGCTCCCACCTTGACAACTAACGTGCTTGTGACCAATGGTTTTGGAGCTAGGCGGGGGGGGCACGGGCAGGATGCATGACGGCGGTGAACCACATGAGAACAGGTTTTATATGATAATCAACTCCAGAGTTAGTCAAGATCAAATGAATTTGCATTCCTTGGGCCTCCCCTCAGTTACTGCAAACAACGTTCTGTATAAGGAAGGGGGAACACCAAAAATGGGTTGTGGCGCAACGCTCAAGAGGTGGTTTATAAGGATCTTCTAGAATCCTTGAGGTTCCTATATAAATTGCCAAGGGCTTAGTGCCATCCACTCTGCAGGTCTCATCTCGACCCCTAAACCACTGGATTTGGTATGGTTCGCAGCGACTGCGAACCTTCACCTGCAAAAAAAAGGACGGTCAGGGGTACCCTTGGTCATATCAGGCCATAACTAAGGATACCTGGCCCTTATCAATGTCAGGTCATAACATGTCATAGAATAGCGGCCGACAGCACATCGAAAATTCTTCAAATGGGGAACTCAAACATGTGCACGTCAAAGGGGTGGGTCAGATGTTGGAAGATTCCACCGAGTAACTGCTAGCTGGCTATGAGAACTGGTTCTTCAACAAAGGGACTGTACGGATTCTTCACCCTTTCGGATGGTGCTGAGAGTGCCGGCGGGCCATCTCCGGCCATCTCCGAACGGACACCGAACCGCCTTGACCGGTGGATCACTCCCACCGGAGGAGGGCCCGGTCACCGGTGGAGGGCCCGGTGCCGAGGGACCAGACCATGCGCATCGAAGCGGATCGAGCGCTTGGGACGATCGAGAGGCCTCCTCTTTTGCTGGAAGATCTCGTCTTGCAGCTTTTGTTGGAACTCATGCCTTACGCGAGCAAAAAACGCTAGTATAGTACAAGGGCATCGCTACAACGAGCAGGGACGCTACTAGTAGCTCCTGGCATTACTACTAGTAAGAAGAAGCGACTAGTAGCATGACAAGCCCTTCATGTGTGCGCCCTTTGCATTTCCTTTGGCTCCCTCCACTCCGTCAAAATCAGGAGTTTCCTCTTCAATCACCATGCCAGTGTCGACCAAACTCAAACCTTTACCATGAGTAGCTTGAAAAAAAAACAATCCCAGGGCTATACCTGAAGCCAAACATCCGGCCACTGTAGCCCCTTGGGCTGCCGACCTCTCGAAGAGCTTCTGCCCTGAGCTGTTGATGTGAGTTTAGGGTCGTTGGTAGGAGAGACGGACATGTAATGTAATCTGCAAACAGCTGGTGCCCCTCAAGTTGATTTAGAAAAGCAACGCCAAAATCCGAAAAATACTAAACAATGCGAGGCCTTCCAGGAGTATAGACCAGGAAGGTTGGGAATGTATGAACAGGTGTGCAGCTCAAATAGGGAGACCTCCCAGACAACGACCCTCTAGAAGAAAGGAAAAAAACGACACAGGAGCGGGTCAAGAGACACCCAACGAACCCTAGTTGTGTCACATCGCCCCTATAACGGGTTGCCACTGCGATGCGTCCCTTTTCTAGAACGAAGCTTGATTGACGGATGCATTTGCCAGTACCAATCCACTGTGTTGGCTTTGCCAAGCGCGATCTTGCCCGCAACCTGGCTTCCAAATGCTCTATGCGCAGTCGTGAGAACATTGGCATGAGTCATGATCAAGCAACCAATCGCCTGTCTCTGGAACGGGTTGCATCTGCTGAGGGCCGGAGTGGTGATGCAGGTGGTGATGCAGGGTTCGTGTTGTCCATCCCAGCGTCAGAAACACCCCGATCAGGCCTTCTTCCAGGAGCTTCTCGGCGGCATCATACGCACCGGCCTCGATCGCCACCTGTGACGTTCAGAGTTGGCACGATGTGAAGCACGGACGTTTTCTGAAGTCACGATGCACTTGGTCAATGGGGCTTCATACAAACCATCTTTTAAAGTCTATGCCAGCTGCTCTGACAGTGTTCTTCCTCTCCTCTGACATGGGACTCCGGCTCTGGAACGCGGGATGGAAACAGTAATCTTCTAATCTTCCAACAAATGACGTCATATTGCAGGCCAGACAGCAGCTTCATAGGGTGACAGTCCTATCCTCGTTATCCTTGGGCTTTGGATAGGCCAAGGCTTACCCTGTTTGCAGCGTGAGCAGTGGGCCTTTGATACACGCTGTTTAACACTTTATTGCTTCAATGTTTTCCTCTGGGCATTCTAGGCTTGTCTTGTTTAGGACCGTTGTCTTTTCTGCCCCATTGCACATCCCCCCAGGTAAGGAACAGCTTGTGCAGGTGCCAAAGCAAAAGTTCGGACTTCGCACACTAAGACAGAGTAGTCACATGTAGAGTCGTTAGGAGTTAGGAGTAGATGAGCAATGTAGACCCCACAACTGTGACTGGTTCCGTTGAATTCTTGTCACTCTGAGCCACAAGGTGGACTTCTCAAACAAACCTGGCTGACCAGCCCTGTGCGTCTATTGCCACGCCATGCCTGCAGTAGACTGACTCCATCTTCCGTACTTAGCAGGACTCTGGCCAAGAGCTCCTGGCCGGCCAAAAAAATCTGCTAAGCAAAGGGTTCAGCATCTCTTGCACGGTAATCACCAACCACCATTTTTTTGGGTAAGGGATGGTAAGGGATCATAGTGTTCCTTCATGCAGTGCGGCCTTGACATTTTGTATTCTCAGAAGCACCTCTCACACCTCCCTCGATCACAAGCCGGACCTGTACCGCGCAGCTGGCTGTTCTTGGCCTGCACTCTATTGGTCATTCGGAAGGGAACCGTGTAAGCCTTTCGAACCATCACCGTGTAAGCCTTTCTGTAAACCCGTTGGACGCAACCCGTCAAATGGGTCAGGTTTCCAGCGGTTTCCAGCGGTTTCCACGTGTGAATCCAAGAAATCCAGGGACACGGGCCTCTGATGATTGGAATATCATTTGTGTGCTCCTTTTTCCCAAGCCACTTCATCCACTTCTCGTGATCTTCTGAACATGCAGTTCTAGTTTGGGGGGTTGAACTTCGACTAACAAGACGCAGTTGCTTCTTTCAACAGTTTTTTTGATTGAAATTCCTCCACAAAATGTCCCTTCCACGTTCCCATGGCATAGTTGCTAATTATAGTTGTTGGGTTTCCCTCCACTTATATATATATATATAGAGTGGTTGTGACATGTTTCTGTAGGGAGAGTGTCTTGCAATGTCGCTCCTCTGATTGAACAGGAACTCGCACACAAAGTCGAACCTGCCTTTTCTACACAAGTCGAACGAGTAGGGTCGTGACCACGGTGACTCAAGGGCCCTAAATGGCCGCAATCGAACATACAAACGTTCAAACCTTCAGCAAACGTACCTTCAAGTACATGCTGTGAAAACTGCATTGAGATGGGCAAAAGCTCTTTGTTTGTTCGAGCTTGCCAACTGGAAAACATTCAAAAAAAAATCTACCTCACTGGTCACCCTTGTCACACACGGCTTTCGTACGTGCTCACAAATGTCCATGCTCCATTCGGTTGAGCCAGTGTGCAGCGGTCTGCTGCATCTTGTCAGCACGTTCACCACGATCGAACTTCATTCGCTCTCGCTCATGTGGATCAACTTCTTCTTTCTCAGCTTGTAGGGCATCGCACAAGGACTGGAGTTGATTCATCCTCTGGTCCTTGAACCGCACCTCTGCGTGGATCTCCATGATCAGACAGAAATGCGCATTGAGAAAGCGGTGCCATTGCCGGATCTGTTCATCAGTGACATTCTCACAAGTCGATGCCAACGTGAGCTTCAAGTACTCCTCACGTCGAACATCAGGACGACAGTGTCGGATCACATGTCCTCGCATCTGCGGAGACACCTGGTTCGTCCACAAGTTGGCCTGGAGCTCTCGCCATTTGGCTTGATCATCTTCATCTCGAACTTCATCATATCGTCGCTTCCAACGATTGAGCACTTCATTCCATCTCAACACTTCGTCATCGCTCTCCGTCTCATTGTCCTCGGTCTCCATGTTAGAAGCATCGACTTCAGCATCGTCATTTGCAGCTTCGGGGAAATCAGCTGCAGTTCCATGGCTCAAACCGACGGACGATCGAAAAGCTAAGGCACAAAGGAACTGATACACAGCCACAAAGGTGTCCTTTATCTTGTTGGCATACTGCTTCACAAAGTTCTTCAGCAACCAAGCTGAACCCAAGGCTCCCACCAAAGCAAAGCACAAAATGACCAGCATGGTATTCACAAAAACTGGGTCAAACACTGGGTCGTCATCGTTCGTGCTGTTTGCTTCGACACCTTCAATGCTGCTTGCTGCCAACACTGCTAAAGCACAGTTTGCTGCTTTTCGCCACTCGTCTCCACCTTGTCCCTTGCGGTGCAGATGAAGGTAGAAATGACGACGGCTGCAGTAGTGGTATGCATCATCTTTCTTGTCCTTCTCCTTTTGACATCCTGGAAGACGGCATAGGTTCATCTTTTCCTTCTTGTCGTGATCTTCCGCCAGGAGTGCCTGACCTTCAAACAATGACTCTGCAGCTTTCTCGTACTCGGCATTCTCCTTGTCTCTCTCACTCTGAGTGACTTTCTTGGCTGCAACGAAGTTGGGGTCAAAACGAAGGGCATGGACTCCTCTAGACAACGTGTATGCCAGTGATTCACGTGCACTTGTCTTCGTGAATCCATCTGCCAACTGCTGAGTGGAATTTACCCAGCGAAAGTTGCCCATGACGGCATGCAATCGCTCCTTCAGGATGCAAATCTCGATGGCTGTTCTTCTTTCTGAGAGCTTCATGCCAGGGGTCACTGACAGCGTGCTGTCGAACAAGGCCTTCGCATCGGTGATGATGGGTGACTCCTGAAACCAATGCATGGTTTTGTCTTCATGGATGGCCACAAATGGATTCACCATTGCAGCATAGAAAACCTTGGCCCATTCCAATTCGTCCACTGCAATCGTTGCCGACTGCGCTTCAGCTGAGAGCGAACTTCTGCACATCCTCACCAACTTCTTGCTTGCCCAATCGATCACGGTGAGGGGAAAAGGCTTATGACTCTCCAGCTCAGCTCTATCGGCAATGAACATCATCATACCTCCTTGCGAGCTTCCATCTGGTCGTACCGACCAAGCAGCATCACAGTAAACTCCAAGTCGAAGATCTTGCAGCTCGCCATGCCGACGGATCTTGAACACATAGGTCTTCACGGCTTCCTTCAAGAACCTGAGGCATTTGTTTGCTTCGAGCATGTCTTTGACTGCTGGCTTGTTTATGTGAGCTTGCAAGAGGCTGATGGTGGCTGCAGCTTGAGGAACACATTGTGTCACGGGCCAAGACATTGCACCAACCAATGCTCTCAACTGTCTGTGCTCCTTCTCCGTGCACATGTCTTCAACCATGGTCTTTCGAGCCTTCTCCAATGTCAATGGCTTGATCTTGTTGACATACTCCTGCAATGAGACTGAAATCACTTCCAGGTCTTCTGATTGCTGGACTTCTGAGCCACAAAATCGCATCTTGTCACCAAAATCCCACGATCCAAAACGAAAACGTTTGGACAACTGATGCAATCTGTGTTGAAAACAATCAAAGGCTCCTGCTGGATCATGCTGCACGTCCTGCAAAGAAAACACCTGCTCTCCAGCTCCCAAGAAATCGTCAACATGAAGGCCCAAAGCTCCATCGACAATCCACCAACCTTTGTCCTTCTCAAACTGTAGGAACTCGGGGTCATCTGCAGAGGCGGCACGAATGGACAAGTACAAGCATCGATCAAGTGGATGGTGCACCAAGCCCAACTCTTGCGTCAGGTAGCGATCTGCAGTCTCGTTCCACTGACGGGGAGCGCGAACGTCTCCAAAGGCTGGTTTCGTTGCCTTCAGGATCTCGTGCGAACGAAG